ATTGGAGGAGGAAGGGAAGGGAGAAAGCAGGAGGTAAGAAAGGGAAAGAAGAGAAGAGGAGGAAAGGAAGATAGAGAAGTGAAGGGAATAAAAGTTCATGTGACAGTTAGGGAGTTGAAGAAAGGAAGAAAGGGAGAAGGGAAAGGAGAGGGGAACGGATAAAGAAAGAAGGCAGAGAAGGTGGGGGAAAGGCAAGAAAGGGAAAGGAAGAGAAGGGAGAGAAAGAAGAGGGAAAGTAAAATAAAGGGAAGAAAAGAGAAGAGAGAGAGAAAATGAATACAAAAGTAGGAAAGGGAAGGAAAAAAAGAACAAAACAGAGGAAAGGAAGTGATAAACGAAAGGGAAATGAAGCGGAGACGAGGAAGATAAAAGAGAGAGAAGAGGAGAGAATGGCAAGGAAAGAGAAGAGAAGGAAACGAAAGGGAGAAAAAGAGAAGAAGCGAACGAGAGAATGAGGAGATAGAAAGAAAGAGAGAACGAGATGAAAAGAAAGAGAAAAAAAAAATCGAACAAAGGAGAAAAAAAGAGACAAGAAAAAGAAAGAAAAACGAAAAGGAGCAAAAATACAAAAAAAAAAAAAAAAAGAGAGTAGAGCAAGAACACCAGAGATAAGAACAGGTGAAAGAGAAGAAGAACAAGAGAGGCGGTTAAAGTAGTGGGTGTATCAAGGGTGTAAAAAATAATAAGAGTGAAGATGGTAGTGCGAGTGAGGAAAAAGTAGACAACTGGAAGGCGAGGCTGAGAGAATAGCTGTGGGGGAGAGAATGGGTGTGGCTCTTTGGAGGAACAAAGAAGAGGAGGAGAAGAAGAAGAGGGAGGAGGAGGAGGAGAAGGGGGAAGAGGAAGAGGACGGGGAAGGAGAAGAGGAGGAGAAGGGGGAAGAGGAAAGGGAAGGGGAGAAGAGGAGGAGAAAGGGGGAATAGGAAGAGGACGGGGAAGAAGAAGAGGGAAGGAAGAAGGAGAGGAGGAAGAAGGGGGAATAGGAAGAGGACGAGGAAGGAGAAGAGGAGGAGAAGGGGGAAATAGAAGAGGAAGGGAAGGAGAAGAGGGAAAACAGGAGGGAGAGGAGGAGGAGGGAAAGGGAAGGAAGAAAAGGAGGGGGGAGGAGGAGGAAGGGAAGGACGAGAAACGAGGACGAAGACGAGGCGAGGAGCGAGGAGGAGAGAAGGGGGAGGAATAACAGAGGAGGAGAACGGAGGGAGTAGGGAAAGAGCAAGGAGAATAAATGGAGGAGAAAGTGGAGGTGAGGTAGGAATTAGAAGGAAGAAGAGGCAAGGAAATAATAAGAAGAGAAGAAGAAAAAAAGGAGGTGAAGAAGAAGAGAAGAAAGGAGGAAGAGGATGGAAAAGAAGGTAGAGAGAATAAGAATGAATGAGTTGGAGGCTGAGAGGGAGGAGGAGGAGGAGGCAGAGGTGTGTGGATGGGAGCGTCGCGGCGAGAGAGAAAGAGGGAGACGGAGGCAGGGAGGACGAACGGGAGAAAGAACAGACAAAATGAAAGACGGAGGGAAAGACAGATGAATAAAAGAGAAGAGTGAGATACGAAAGAAGGAAGAGCAGAAGAGAGAGAAGAGGATAGAAACAAAGAGAGAGACAAGACGGAGAGCGAGCAGAAGAGAGGAAGAGAGAATCCATAATGGAGAGAGCGAGGGCGAGAGTGAGCGAGCCCCAGCAGCATCGCCAGCGCCCGGCCAGGTGCCAACTGAACGACGAGTGAATGACCGAACGGCCTTGCCCCCCCCCCTCCTCTACCCCCCCATGCCACCCCCACCTCCTTGCACGACTTCGACACAGCTCCGAAACGTAAACAAACCGTCGCGACAACTTTTCCCTCGTGATCGACGTCGATGTTGGGGCGGCCACGGGGACGAATCGCTGGGGAATCGCCCTTTTTGTTTGTTTTAGTGTTTTCTCTCGTTCGTATTCTCGTTGTTGTTGTTTTTTTCATTCGTATTCTCGTTTTTTCTACTTTTCTTCTTCTTTGTACTTAGGTTGATTTTTTCCCCTCGTTTCTCTTTTTCCTTTCTGATATTTTTTCCTTAATTGTCTCATTCCTCTTCCTCTTCTTACTCTCCCCTTCTCTTCCTTATCTTCTTTTTCTTCCTCTTCTTTCTTCCTCATCCTTCCCTCTTCCTTCTCTCCCTCCTCATCCCCTTGCTTCTCTCCATCCTATCCTCATACACCTCCTCCATCCCTTCCTCCTCCTCTCTCCTCCTCCTCCAGTTCCCATTCTCCCCTTCCTCCTACACTCCTCCCATCCTCCTCCTCCTCTTCCTCCTCCAGTTCCCCTTCTCCCCTTCCTCCTACACTCCTCCTCCAGTCCATTCCCCCCTCCAGCTCCCAGTCCCCATTCCCCCTCTCCTCCTACACTTCTCCTCCTCCTCCAGTCCTCCTACACTCCTCCTCCTCCTCCTCCCCCCCCCCTCCTCCTACACTCCTCCTCCTCCTCCAGTCCCCATTCCCCCCCTCCTCCTACACTCCTCCTCCTCTTCCTCCTCCAGTCCCCATCCCCCCTTCTCCTCCTACACTCCTCCTCCTCCTCCCCACTCCTCCTCTCCCTTCCTCCTCCAGTCCCCATCCTCCTACACTCCTCCTCCTCACCTCCTCCTCCTCCTCCTCCAGTCCCCACCTCCTCCTACACTCCTCCTCTCCTCCAGTCCCCATCCCTCCACTCCCACAGCCTCCCTTCATCCTTATCATCCTTCCCACTCCTTTTCGGCCGAATCAACACACACCGAGATTCCCTAAAGAGCATTAAAGAACCATCAACGAAACCCTTTGTTTACACTGCGAGATACCATTACGCAATCTTGCATCGTTCCCTCATAAAATGTAGGCGCAGGAGGCGGTATGAGGTATTTGTTGGCGTGTGAGTGTGTTTTCAATGGGCGTGGTGTGGCCTCGTGTGTGTGTATCTTTTTTTTGTGTGTGTGGGTGGTGTGTGTTTGTGTGCTGTGCGTGTGGGTGTGGGTGTTGTGTGTTGATTGTGGTGTGGTGTGGGTGTTTGGTGTGTGGTTTGTGTGTGGTTGTGTGTTGTTTATGTTGTGTGTGTGGGGTGTTTGGGTTGTGTTGGTGTGTGTGGGTGTTTGTGTGTGGGTGTTGTGTGGGTGTTGTGTGTGTGTGTGTGGGTGTTTTGTGTGTTGTTGTGTGGGGTGTGGTGTGTTTGTGGTGTTGTTGTGTGTTGTGTGTGTGGTTGTTTTGTGTTGTGTGTTTGTGTATGTGGGTGTTTGTGTGTTTGTTTGTGTTGTGGGTGTTTGTGTGAGTGGGGGTGTTGTGTGTGTGGGTGTTTGTGTTGTGTGGTGGTTGGTGTTTGTGTGCTGTGTGTGTGGGTGTGGGTGTTTGTGTGTTGTTTATGTTGTGTGTGGGGGGGGGGTGTTTGTGTGTGTGGGTGTTTGTGTGTGTGTGTTGTGTGTGTGTGGGTGGGTGTTTGTGGTGTGTTGTGTGTGTGTGTGGGTGGGTTTTGTGTGTGTTGGGTGTTTGTGTGTTGTTATGTTGTGTGTGTGTGTGTGTTTGTGTGTGGGGGGGATGTTGTGTATGTGGGTGGTGTGTGTGCAGATGGGTGTTCGTGTATGTGTATTTGTGCGTGTAGGTGTGTGTTGTGTGTGCGTGTGTGTGTGTGTGTTTTGTGTATCCGTGTGTATAAGAAAATACACATATACACATCCAACCGCACCTTCGAGACGCATTTCTTCCTGGCTTCCCTGTTCCTTCCGCGGTGTGCAGTCCCCCCCCCCCCCTTGCATCTCTTAATTCTACCGGCTCACTTCACACCCCTCTTCCCGTTCTCTTTCGCTCCCTCTCTATCCTCGCTCTTCGCTGGGCGCCCCTCGCTCGTCCTCTCTCTCGTCCCTCCCTTTTCTCCTGTTCTTATTTTGCCCGTTCCCTTCTCTCTCTCTCGCCTTCTGTCCATCTTTCCTTTCTCTCCTCTCCTCTCCCTCTCTCCTCCTCTTCTTTTTCTTATACTTTTTCCTCCTCCTCCTCTCCTCTCTTTTCTCTCCTCCCCTTCCCTCCCTTCCCCTCCTCCTCCTTCTCTTCGTCTTCCTCCTCCTCTTCTTCTTCTTCTTCTTCTTCTTCTTCTTCTTCTTCTTCTTCTTCTTCTTCTTCTTTCTTCTTTCTTCTTCTCCTTCTTCTTCCTCCTCTTCCTTTCTTATCCTTTTCCTCTCCTCCTCTCCTTTCCTCTCCTCTCCTCTCCTCCCCTCCCCTCTCTTCCCCCTCCTCCTCCTCTCTCTTCCTCGTCTTCCTCTTCTCCTTCCTCCTCTCCTCCTCCTCAACTCTCCCTCGCGTCACAGTTCACTTCCTCCCCACTCCTCTTTGCCTCACACCTGTTCCCCTCACACCCTCCCCCTCCCCGTCCTCCCTTCCTCTCCCCTCCCTCCCCACCCATCCTCAAGGTCGCACACGCTCGACCAATGCCCCTCTTCCCACCTCTCCTCTTCACCTCTTCTTCCCTCTTCTCTCCTTCCTTCTCTTCCCCCTGCTTCCTTTTCTATTTCTTCTTTTTCTTATCCTTTCTTTCTTCTTCCCACCTCTCCTCTCCACTTCATTTTTTCCCTGTCTTCCCCTTTCTTCTCTTCCTGTTTCTTCCTTAAATCTTTCTCCTTCTCTCCACCCTTTTCCCTTACCTCCTTTCTCCACCTTCTACCAATCTTAAGTCTTCTCTCTCTCCTCTTTCTCTTCCACATCACATTTTTCTCCCTTATTCTCTACCTAATCCTTACCTTCCTCTCCATACCCTCTTTCACTCTTCCTCTTTCTCTTCTCTTGGTATTATCATCAATGCTGTTACCATCTCCACTTCTGCGGTATCTGCTACTGTTACTTCTACTATTACGGTGTCTAACACGAGTACTTCTCCTAATAGTATTGTCACTACTATTACCGTTGCTGCTTTTTATCGTTACTTCTCTACTAGTTACAATTTCTCCGTTTTTTTCCATTTCCTTTGTCACTCTTTTTACCTCACTTTTGCTTCAACTTCCTATATCCAGCCATTCTTTCATCACAATCTTCCTCCTCTTCCACCTCCTTCTCTCTGCCTCTTATTCCTCCTCCTTCTTCTTCGTCTTTCTCCTCCTCCTCTTTCTCTTCATCTTCTTCCTCTTCCTCCTTTTCATCCTCCTTCTCCTCCCTCACACATTGTCTGGGTGAACCTAATTATTCTCCGTTACAATATTGGCCAGTCTTTTTAGCTTCCCTCTTACACTCTGTCTAATTCATTCACATAAATTTATGATAATGAGACACTGAGGAATTTTACGCTGATATCTTACTCCAGGGTCGCTTCTACGAGTATGTCGTAGTATCAGTGTGACAATAGATAGTAATAGATCTTATACGTAGATAGCCTTGGATGCTTGTCTGTGCATGTGTGTGTATACGTAGATAGCCTTGGATGCTTGTCTGTTCATGTGTGTGTTTTGTGTTTGTAATTGCGATAAAAATACTCGTATCATCTGACGGGTATATCCTAATATTATCCTCGTCTACACGCACAGGAATATGTCACTGATAATATGTTTGCAAGACTTCCATGTATAATACATGTAAGGCTGTGTTTGTGAGTGGACGGATGGATGTGTCCTTTTATCTTTTTATGTGCCGCTTACATTCATCTCTCTCTCTCTCTCTCTCTCTCTCTCTCTCTCTCTCTCTCTCTTCTCTCTCTCTCTCTCTCTCTCTCTCTCTCTCTCTCTCTCTCTCTGCCACTTACACTCTCACTTTCTCTCCAGTCCACCTTGCCATTTTCAGGGAGAAATAGTGGAAGTATTTATTATATATCGATACATACATACATACATAAATTCATATACACTTACATACATACATATCTGTCTACCTATCTATAACTATCTATCTATATCTATATATAAATGTATATCTATGTACATAGACATATATATATAATACACACAACATATATATAATATATATATATTATATATATATATATATATATATACATATATATATATATATATATATATATATATATATATATATATATATATATATATAGACACACACGCACTCACACACTCATTTATATATGCGTATATATATATATATATATATATATATATATATATATATATATATATATATATATATATATATATAATGCCTATGTACTTCTCTATTGATATACCTATATCAGCATAAAGTGGGGAACTCTCAGTGGTCATTATCATAAACAATGAACGATCAAGCCAATCTGTAATCATGAGGAAGCGTCCGCGTCCGTGTCTTTACCGTAGATTACAGCGCAACAGCCTCCGGACGCGACTCCTCCCCGCGCAAACAGCACACGACGACCCGATCGCTCACGGGCCGCACAGCTCAACGGCGTTCACCCACAGGTCAAAGTCCGCTGGCAGGAAGTCACCGTGTTATCATGCCCGGCACAGGAGGGTCGTCTCTTCGTCTTCCTTATCACCCGCGAGCGCCCTTGTGCTCGGCCCGAACTGCCAGCCGCCCGCAGTGCTTCCTCGGGCGTGTGCATCTATCTCTGATCAGTCCTTACTGTCCACTTAAAAGGGTCAGCGCCGCTATTGCTCGTGCAATTCCTCGGGGGGGGATTGTTAGCGACGATAAGTGAGATTGGGGTGTGTGGGGCGGAGGGGTAAGGGGGAGGGGGTGGAGGGAGGGGTTTTGCGGGCTCCTGCTGGAGGGCTGGGGGGTGTGAGGGGGGAAGGGGGGTAGGGATGGGGTGGGGGGTGGGTAGGTGAGAAGGGTGGGTTAGAAAACTCAAGTCTCCCAAGGTTGTTGCCAAGAGCGACTCCAAAGCCAGGGTCCTCCTCGAAATGAACCCGACCGTGTGTCTGCGCACCACACACACACACACACCCGGCACAACGACTCCTCAGCACGCTGTATTGTAACTGACCAAGTGATCTCGCGCCGTCTTCTTTATATACTGTACATGCTGGACAAGGTATCAAATGGCGGAATTTTATTTCTCGCCCACCGTCGCCACGGCCCTTCCACGGTGCTCTGACCTCTGAGGACGAGCCCCCCGTTCGACCGAAGGGGCGTCGCTGCCTACAGGGACCGATCTCCGCGGGGAGGACCTACGACTCTGAAGGAGAGCTAGAGAGACGAGACAGAACTCTGAGTTGAGGAGAGGAGAGCTCGCTGCTCGCTGCGTACGTCCCCTAGCCTACTCTCCCTCCTCCCTCCCTCCCTCCCTCCCTCCCTCCCTCCCTCACCCTGCCATCCTACTCCTACTCCTCCTTCTCCTCTTCTTCTTCTTCTCCTTCTTCGTCTTTTTATTCTTCTTTTTCTTTTCCGTTTTATTCTTATTCTGATTCTTATTGTTATTCCTTCCTCCTTCTTCCTACTCTTCCTCTTTTTCTTCCTCATCTTCCTTCTGCAACGATTGTTACTAATACTATTATTACTATTACTGTGCCATCCGTTCCTGTTTCCTACTCTCCCCACTCCCTCGCCCCCCCCCCCGTCCCTCTCTCGGGCTCCCAAACTTTTTGGTTCTCGTGACCTCGTG